CTTTGTGACATACGTTCGCGCCTTCCCCCCAGACCTCGAAGGCCCCCTTGGGTTGCGGCCTGCGACGGTCACTTGGATGAGGCCCCAGGACTTCACGCGGCAGCTGCTGGACGAGCTCCGCGCGTGTGCGGTTCTGGCCGACCGCTGCGCCAGGGACAGGCCGGCCGGCCAGCGGTGTTTCGATGATCTCTGTCACTCGACTACACGTAAGAGTGACCCTTCGCTGGAGTGACCTTTGGTGCGGGCTCATCGGGCTCCCCCCGATCGCCGAACGCGATGCGATATAAGCGGCCCGCGCCCTGGGGTTTGGCTCCCTCGCGCCCCCAGAAGCTGCGCACCAAAGGTCACTCTTACCCAGGGTCACTCTTACGTCTAGCCGAGTCACGTTGGTGTCTGGCCACACTCAGGAGGGGAAAAACACAGACACAATGAATCGGCGATTCCCAGAACATATGGGAACATATGGGCAGTGTGGGGGGGGGAAGGCAAAAACCCAGAACATATGGGAAAGTATGGGGGATATGTTTTTTATTTGTGTGTGTTTATTGGTGTGTCCCAGTTTCCCTTCACACACACCTCGACCTCTGGGCCGATCCGCTTGCCGACGGCGGGCGGGGCGGTGGCCGCAGGCGGTCTCTCGGCTCCCGCGCGGGCCGCCGCCGGCACCCGAGGCCGATGCAGCCCGCCGTGCCCTCCTTTTCGGCTGGTCTACTGCTCGTCCTCCTCCTCCTCCTCCTCTTTCGCCTCCTCCTCCTCCTCCTCCTCCTCTTTCTCCTTTTCTCCCTCCTCCTGCTGGTGCTGCTGCTCCTCCTCCTCGTCCTCCTCCTTCTCTTTCTCCTTTTCTCCCTCCTGCTGCTGCTGCTCCTCCTCCTCCTCCTGGTCCTCCTCCCCCCCTCTGCCCGCCTCTGCGTCGGTCGGCGAATGCATCTGCTTACCCCTTTGTTATGCCGGGCGTGATTTGGGGGCGGCGGGGGGGGGAGGAGGGTCGGTCGACGAGATCTATACATATCCGCTGCCCCCTGGCGGGCCCCTTCCTGGGCCAAGGAGCTGTGTACACGCCCTCCTGGCCAAGCCAGGAGGGCGTGGCGTATACACCGCTGCTGGCTTCAGGAAGGGCCTGGCCAGGGACCAGTGTATGTATATGTATAGATTTCGTCGCCCTAGAGGGGGCCAGTCACGTCTAACTCCTAGTCGGCGCCGGCGCAAATCGTCACGTGATCGAGGGGGGAGGGGATGGAGGGGAGTGCGGAGCTGGTAACGGCCGTCATCGCGAAAAATGAAAACATGTTTTCTTTTTATTTCATTGTTCCTGGTCTTCCTGCTCATCCTCCCCCCAGCCCCCTGCTTCTAACTCTCCTCCTCCTCCTCCTCCTCCTCCTCCTCCTCCTCTTCCCCCTAGGAGGCAGACTCGCCTTCCTCCTCCTCCTCCTCCTCCTCCTCCTTCTCCTCCTCCTACTCCCCCTCCTCCTCCTCCTTTTCCTCGCTCTCCCCCTCTTCGTCGTCGTCGTCGTCGTCCTCCTCCTCCTCCTCCTTCTCCTCCTCCTCCATCCCAGTTATAAGTTACTCTCTCTGTCGCATCCCCAGACGTGTTTGTAGGGGCGGGCCGTGCGCTTTGCCTGAGACTTCTCATCATTGATGATCCTGAAGATTGAAGTATGCAACCTTTTCAAGGATGGAGGGCGGGGGGTTCCGTAGCCATTTTGGCTGAAGGGAGTCGCTTATGCAATATGCGAACAGGGCGTGCGTCTTCTTGGCGGATAGCATTCTCTTCTTGCAACAGTGCTATAGCGCTGCCGCTTTCTGCGAGCATGCCCAATGGGTCGGGATCGGCGCAGGTACGCATTGCTCTCGCTCTAGGCGCCAAGCGAGATCGAGTAGTACCACTTTTCTACGCGAAGTGAGGCAGAGTATACGGCGCCCAGGATCTTATCGGTTGCCGCCCTACGTGCCAGGGATGAAGAGCTAATCATGTGCCCTGCGCAGACCAGAATACAAAGATAGAGTTTGAGTTGCGCTGAACGCGTGAAGCGCTATCGCTTGCCGTTTTGCGTGAGTATCCCATTTGCATCGTATTATCGTTCCGAATACGTATGGGCTGGCTCAGCTACTGTCGGTCCTGTTTTACCGCGTGGTGGCTTTCTCTGACAACATACACCGCTCACGCTTGGAGCGCACAACGTGCAAAACGACCGAGCTGCTAGTTAATTGGTGCTCAGGAACCATTTCCTTACAGCTTTTGGATATGTCGGTATGTTTAGCAGTTCTGACGACGTGTATTTGACACAGTTGATCGATGTTCACACTGTCGCGGGGTTTGAACACTTTGCTGTTCTTGATGCCAGCAACTCATTAGCTAGCACGACGAAAGCAATTTTCGAAGGTTATGAAAGACATGGGAATGTTGCGCCAAGGAGATCGCATTGACAAGCGGCAAGACGGGAAAACAAGATCACGACATGCGGCAACAAAGGGAACCTTGATGTCTTGCCGCGAAAGAGCTTGTTGAAAAAGGGTCGACATGTCAGATTGCACAACTTCATTTTGACGAATTCATTTTTCCCAGTTGTTTGGACTCGTTCAGACAACTTTTGTTGCCACAGACGAGTCTCTATTCTGACTGTGCGCGCCAGTTCTTTGTTTATTATTTGTCTTTCGGATTCTCTGGTTGCAAGGTGCGACCCCCAGGGCGGCAAATAGAGGCATATACTCGGACTTGCCCCCCTCTCGAGGAAGAAATGGTAAGAGCTTGGTTCTTGCAGATGTCATGCGGGCATTTACCAGGTACGGCCACAAGTTCATAGAGCATCTCGGTGGGAATGTGACTGTCACGAGCCACATTCTCTCACCATTGGGGGAAGGCCAGTCTTGTTCTCGGTCAAGGGCAGAGGGTTGAAGGTTATGCTGGCAGCTTCCTGTGCATCTCTGGTTGGCTGCTTGATGCATGCTTGCCAGTCGTGCCTGCTTGTCGCGGTATCCGTCCTGGTGCTTCCCGGCCAGTAATCGGAGCGTTCGGTTTGCAGAGGATGCCAGAACACACGTGCCTTTGCTTGCGGGCCCGCATGGGACGTGCCCTTTCTGTTCGGAAGGGTGTGGCAAGATCGAACAATAAATCAAGGTGGGTAGGTATGTATGTATGTATGTATGTATGTATGTATGTATGTATGTATGTATATATATATATACATATATGTATATGTGTATATATACGTATTCACATACATATATAACATATATGTTCAGAACCTGGCTCCCGCCTCAGCGCCGCGCACATTCAGTTTAAGGTTTTGCAGCAGTTTCCGGGACGGAGGGCGGCGGAGGAGCACGCTTCAACACGGGATTGGTTCACGGGAGGAAAAACAAACACCCGGGCCCGACGATTGGCGTTCACGAGACGTCCCTGGGGGTGTCGTTTACTAGGCAGTCCTGCCCTGCTTGATTCCTTCTCTGGGCGCGTTTGCTAAGCGGCTTCGCGTGTCGGGGTGTTTACGATGAGGGTGGATGTCTCTGCACTCTAGGGGGGGCAGTCTTCAGCTTGTGATTACAGTCGGGGCCCTGAAGAAGGAGCCCTTTTCGTTGGGGAGGGGCTCCGTCTTCCTTAAGTGTTTCGCAGCTTGCCTCAGGTTTTCCTTAGGTTTCCGATCGGAAATCGAAGTTTAACTTATGGAAAAAAGGGGCCTCGTTCCTTATTTAGGGTTCCTTAGGTCAACCCCCCGACTGTAGCGGGGGGGCAGTCTTCAGCCTGTAATCATCGCTTCCGCGCCGCGCACGGTCGTCCTCAACATGTGTAGCGGCTTTCCACGGGCGGAGGGCGGCTCCATTTCAAACCTGCGGCTCTCGCTCGGGCGCTGCGCACATTCCCTTCCCTTTCATTCGAACCGTGCAGCATCTTCAGGGACAGAAGGAAGCCTCCCCCCCTCCTCCTCCCCTCCTCCTCCTCCTCCTCCTCCTCCTCCTGTTCCTCCTCGTCCTCGTCCTCGTCCTCGTCCTCGTCGTCGTCGTCGTCGTCCTCGTCCTCCTCTTCCTCCTCAAACATGGGGATGAACTGGGGATCGTTCGTTTCCAAAATGTGGCTCTCGCCCTGGCGCTGCGAGCGTTTCGTTCTCAACCAGTGCGCTAGTTTCGCGGGCGGAGGGCGGTTCCTTTCAGATTGTGGCTCTCGTCCAGGCGTTGCGCACCGTCGTTCTCAAACGTTGCACTCGTTTCGTGGGCGGAGGCCGTTTTTTGTTCAAAATGCGGCTCTCGCCCCAGCACCGCGACCATTCATCCCACCATCTAGCAACGTTCTCCAGGGTTGAGCGCTGGTCGTTTTCAGAATGGGTCTCGCGCCTCAGCGCCGCGCGCATGTTGTTGGATGAAACGTTTCGCAGGAGGCAGGTCTGCTCTTTTGCCAGTCTATCGTTGGCAAACGTTTACTGGTGTTGAGATCCCGCAGCCCCAACGCATGTAGCGCTGCACGGGCCCAGGGCGTTTGTTTTGTCTGTTTGTTTGTCTGTTTGTTTGTCTGTTAGTTAGTTAGTTGGTTGGTTGTTAGTTAGTTAGTTAGTTAGTTAGTTAGTTAGTTAGTTTGTTTGTTTGTTATTTCGTTGGTTACATTTGTGGCCGACGTTTCGCTTGAGACTTTCTCGCAATCCACGACCACACTTGCAGCTGTCTTCACGGATGGGGGGTCCTCTCTTCTGAACGTGGATCTCGCTGGGCACCTCGCTGGGCTGTCTGCTCGTGGTTTCTCGCGCTTTCGATTGCTTGCCAGAAGGGTGCAAGGGCACGACGCGTCAAAACGGGACCTCGCCAGAACGGCAGGTCCAACTGTGCTTGTTTTTCGAAGGGGGCGCTTCCTGTAGTGAAACGGCCGACTTCTAGAGGAGTGTGTGGAGGGGATTTGAGACGGGAGGGTGCACTGCAGCATCGCTACGGCATTTTTGGATTACAATGGTCCTCCTCCTCCTCCTCCTCCTCGTCCCCCCCACCCCAGCCCACCTCCGCCCTTCTCGAGTCCCCAGGTGGAGGTGCGCGGCTCCTGGAACGGCTGGCAGTCCCCGCTGGTCCTGTCGCAGGGTGCCGGTCAGTCTTGGGCGGGCAGCCTCAGGCGCCCTCTTCCCCGCTGCCTTGTTGTCCTCCTCCTCCCTGCTCATCCTCCTCCTGCCAATTTCCGTCGATCCTCCACCCATCCTCCCCTCCTGGTCTTCTGCCTCCTGCTCCCCCTCTTCTTCTCTTCTTCTCCTCGATCCTGCCTGGGCTCTGCCTCCTACTCCTCCTCATCTGTTCTCCCTCTCTTGTCTGCCGCTCCTGCTCGTCCTCCTGCTTCTGCTGTGCTCCTCCTCCTCCTCCTCCGCCTCCTCTCCCCCTCCTTCTCCTCCTCCTCCGCCTCCGCCTGTTCCTCTTTTTCCTTGCCTTCTTATATTTTGGTAACGGCAAAATATATCTTCCTCCTCTTCCTCCTCCGCCTCCTCCTCCTGCTCCTCCTGTTGCTCCTCCTCCTCCTCTTCTCCCCCAGTCCTCCAAAAAAGGGTCCGACGGCGTCAATATGGTGCCATTTCATCTGACAGGGCAGGAAAGCCTGGAGCGCAATCATATTGTGAACAACGCGCCTCGGTCGCCATCGCACTCGCCAGCATCCTGCACATACCAGCTGGGTACCGTTTAGAAGCGGAGATTCTAAATCGCCCATGGTTTTGTACCTCCTGCAGCACAGTAATGTGCGACTGGTGGTTCCACCTGCCGCTGTTGGGGAACATTCGTAACCGATCAGTAGCAGGCTCAGCATTGATTCATAGCAGCGTAGTCGGCTTACGGGACTTCGCACCACACATGCACTGATCAAAGCTACAACTACGAACAGACCTGCATGAAGCATGTCCCGCAAAGCTAGAGGGAGACAGAGAGGGATAGAGAGAGAGAGAGAGAGAGAGAGCGAGAGATAAAGAGAGAGAGGGAGAGCGAGAAAGAGAGAGAGAGAGAGCCCTCACTTCCGGCAGCCCACAGACTGAGACCAGGAGGTGTGTGAGATCATGCTTACGCGGTTGTTCCATACCCAAAAACCTACCTTGTGCGGCTCATGTACACGCAGCTTGCCTCCACTCTTTGGGCGTGCACCATGGCATTCCCAGTGGCTGGGTAGCACTACGGACAACTCTGGGAACATCCGTGATCCTCTGGGGTTGCCGGCCGTCAGGCAGCGCTCTACGTTTCGCAGGGAGGGCCCCCGATGACCCCGGGAGCTTGCCCAGACCAAAGCATCGCAAGAAACGACTCGATGGAGGACCGGCAGGTTACATCTCCTTTATGCTCCTGTCGCTAACAACATCGACAGAAAGCATGACTACTGGGAACAACGTGCGCTCGCGAAGTTCATCAAAGTACGATTGGCGCTGTCCCAAGTAAAAACGTAGGAAGTGCCCAGTAGCAGTGGACCCCACGGAAGGTCTACAGCGCCTCCAGGCTCCTCATCAAGCGGAGGGACTACTCTAGGGCATTCGCTTGCTCGACCGCCTCAGGACAATCCCCTCCGAGCGTGGGTCCTACAATTCGCTCAGGGGGCCGCTCTGCACAAGTGTGACATTCGCCTCGGGACTTAGGTCCTTGGCCTCGGCAACTTCTGGTTCCTGCCTACGCAACTCAAGCACTCCGTCCACACACATGGGTGCAATGTGGTGCACGAGTACACTTAAGCACCTTTCCCCCCCGATTAGCGAGCTTAACTCACCAGGTGAAATCCCCGACAGGCATGTGTTCCTGAGGCAGCACAGGGTGCTGTTCAAGCCAGTGGATGCCATTCCGAATATTTTCGGCCCATGTTCCCTTTTCTCCAACCATACAGCCCAACGCGTGTAGAAGGAACTCAGGCCCCTTCCTCAGCAGTTTGGGTAAGTATCTGATGCGCCTTTGCGTCAGCACCACCTGCGCTGGTAACTTCTTTGTGCGGAGCAGCACCTTATACTGCGGTCTACGCCTGATGCCATGCGGGGTCTCAATGTGTCCTACTTTGGCACGGAGCGGTGCAAGGTGCGCGGTCTGTAGCTGACGGGGCGACGACACATTTAGAGGGCGCCACGTACCAGCTTGAAACAACAACCTGTAACAGCAAAAAGCTGCCGCGTTTTTGGTTTTGCACGAGAGGGACATACCGGACCCGCGGAAAGTAATCCGACGGAGGCAACCCGAATCGCCGGCTTGCGCACTGGCACGTTGCGTGATTTCGAGCCTCATTGAGCCCTGCGAGTCTATCGTGGACCCTGAATGTTAGGCGGTTGGAACAAGCTCAACCTTGAATTAAGCCGAGACTTTCACACATGCATTACGCTCTACAAACTCTTTGCGAGCAAGAGCTTTCCCCCTACCCGCGAGTGACACTCACGGCCGACTTCCCTTGGCCGTAATTAATTCTGAGCTCCGCGACTGACATCTCGAGGTTCTCGATTTCGGGAAATAGACAAGCGTTTTGCCTGCGCTGGATGGCAGAGGGGCAGAAGCAAGGGATTGCGAGATCAACTACGTACGACTGGCGGTTAACGACGTGGCAGTCCCCTGAACTTTCCCGCTTACGGAACACTGCATCCTGAGAGGGAGTATTCTGGATCAAGTCCCATGAGGCACCAGCGTCAGCCATCCTATGCAGAGTCCGTACGTGGGCAGGACTGACAGCAAGCGAAAACAAGGCATCTGCTGCAGGCAATTCAGGCCTGGTTCCTGTGACAGCACATGCAATTTTCGAGGCCTTGCGAAAGGTACGCCACGTCGAGCTAAGCGCATCAGCGGTCATATCCCTTACGTGGCCTGGAATGCTGCCAAGCAGCGGCGGCCCATGCAACAATGTACGCACCATTTTCCCAAGAAGCGGCGGAAGATCAAGTTTACAAACGGCTTGCCGTAAAGAATGGAACACACTTTTTACACTTGCATCTAACCTACGTGTGCGTGGTACGAACCATACGACTGGTATGGTCCGTCCCATACCCAGCCCTACCATCGCACTGGGTATCATGCAGCATAGAACGCGCGGGGTCAACAAGCATCCGACCTCTTTCTCCTCCTTCTGCTCCTTCTCTTCCTCCTCCTCCTCCTCATCCTCCTCCTCCCCTGCTGCCTCCAAGTTGTGGCTCCTCTCTTTCAGCAGCATGAGGACGAGGAAAGGATGCGCGGATAAGAAGTTGTATGATATAGGGATATGGAGTTGTATGAGATAAGGATAAGGAGGCGAGGAAGGAGGCGAGGATAAGGAGGCAGGAAGTGGAAGGGAGCAGGATGAGAAGTTGTATGAGGGGAGAGGGGAGCGAGGGGAGGGAAGGCGGTCCAGGAATGACAGGAGGATACGAATGGCAGGAAAGAAGCTTATGTGAATGGCAGGAGGAGGAGGAGGATAAATGATAATAGGAGAAGAGAAACCTCCTCCCGAGCAGCTCCGCTGGCGTTTCTTTACCAACTTGCTGAGAAACTGGCCCAGTTTCTTGAGCACGTTCGCTCGCCCCCTGCTGTGCTGACCAAACAAGTTGGCCCGGCTTGCTTCAAGAAGGTTATGGGAAGTTGGTCCAGGGTTCTCGAATCACAATATTCTTCACCACCTTTTCGGATGAGAAGAAGATGGCGAATGGATGGGCTGGCTGGAGTGGGCGCGGATCGAGGCTATTGGACGTTATCTGGTCTCCCGGCCCGTTCAGGGGCAACGATAGGGGGGGATAGGCATAGGGGGGGGATGCATCGAGCCCCAATCGCGACGATAGGGGGGGATAGGCATATAGGGGGATGCATCGAGCCCCAATCGCCCATTGATCGCCGCAAGGGGCCCGATAGCCCCAACCTGCCCAGGAAGGTGTGGATTCACCATCGGAGGCCTATCGCCGATCTATCGGCGATGTATCGCCGATTCCAGGTCGATGCATCCCCCCCCATGCCAGTCCCCCCCTATCGTTGCCCCTCACCTCCAGAGCCTTCCGAGAGGCCAGGAGACTTCCAGAGGCGGCATTGCAGCAGAGTGCAGCGGAGTGGAGTAGAGTGGAGCGAAGGGGTGGGCCAGCAGGATATTGGGGAGGTGACGGCTATGAGAGCGGGCTGCCGAGCGACTGGGTAGTAATCGTTTCCCTCTTCATTGTTCTGCCGATCGGCGCGGGCCCTCGCACCCACCCCCTTTCCCCTTCCCCCGTGGAGTAGATCTTGGCTGTTCTTGGCGCCTGTTCCCAGCAGGCGGAGCCTCCCCTATAGGGCGCATTGCTGCAAACAGTCGCATTAAGCAGAGGTCCGGAGCCAGACCCCCCTCTCCCTTCCCTTCCGTCGACGTCACCCCAACATCCTAATACTATGTGTGCGTCGCCCCCCCAGGGGCGACGCGCGCACCGAGAAATCTCATGGTATATGTATCGTGGCGGGCGCTTTCTGGCCACACTGCTAGGGAAACGATATGCACACACACGTATATAGATTTTATATATACATATATACTGTATACAAACATATATATATATAGACATATCAACATTGATCTACTATATGTTCGGGTCGGACGCGCGCCTTCAAGAAGAGAGCATAGAGTACCGGTATGTCCTTGTGCGTCCCATTCCGCCCACTGTCGTGTAAAGGGCTCTCCTCCCTGGCCGCCCCGACCTCGCGTGGCCCCCGCGGAGAGGGGGCCAGGTCGGTGCAGAGCGAGCTGTCCCGGAAGGCGGGCAGGAAGATCGGGGGCGGCAAAGAGGGGGGTGATGACTAGGGGGGGGTGGATATCATGGCGGGGGCCATGGTATTTCCCCAGATTTCATGGCGCCTTTTCTTATTTCATTACGTCCCTGGCCCCCCTGTTGGGCCGCGCACATGCCGCCGGTCATGATTTGCACCCCCCCCCTGTTGGACACCCCCCTCTTGGCCGCTCCCGAGAAGAGTGGGCGGGATACACATCCATGCTCCGGGAGGGGAAAGAATATACAGACACAGTTCGTCGTCGGCTCCCAGGGAACTGCGGGAAGAGGTGGGACGTGGGGGGGAGGACGAGAGTCCAGAAAGCAGGAGGAGATCT